GCGAGCAAGGCAATCGGACGAACTCCACCTTCACGCTTTGGTCTGAAAGCAAGCTTGTTTACAAACTCTGGCCAGGCTGTGCGTTCCTCAATCAGCACAATCAAGCCTGCCAAGGCATCAGCTCCACTGTCGTCCAGCACGCCGAAGTCGCGCGGGCTGAAATTGTCGAAGCTCTTCCCCCCTCCCACCCTGAACGCGGCAAACACCCGTCGCAACTGCTCGACTGTCGGCCTCTCAGGCCTCACGCCGAGGTCTTGCGACCATCATGTCCTCCAGTAGGCCGCCCATTCGGCCACAAGAGCCTTGACCGCGTCCACCTTGCCGAGCGGGGCTTGACCTTTGCTGGTCGCAGTGGCGTTGACGGTGACCTCCTGCGTGAAAGCATGTAACGCTGCACCTCCGACGACCGCTTGGGCATCAATCCAGTCACCGAATCTCGCTTTAGACTCCTTCACGTCGCGCGCGATGGCGTCGTCTGCTAGCTGCTTGGTGACCGCTGCCAAGCACTCGTCACAAACAGGGCACATGTACTCGCGCGCTCTGCATAGCGTCGCCACGACCTTGCACCAAAGGTCCCCAGGGGCGCTGCGCTGGCGCCGATCCAGAGCCCGATGCCCACGCGCCTGCCTGATCGGGTCGCTGCTCACAACGTCCGCTGCTGCCAGGGCTGCACCTTTCAGCCATCTCGAGGCGTTACTCACCTTGGAGATGCGGGGGGCTGACGGTGGGCACGCTTTGGTCCAACCGAGCTCGGGGCCCTCTCCACGACCGCCATACTTACCAACGTCGAGCCCCGCCAGGTCGCAGAGGTATCGTTCGGTGACGCCGACGAGCTGCTTCCAGGACTCTCCGACTTCACCTGATGGGTCCTGAATCGCCCTCCACTCGTCCGTGAAGTCGCGCGTGCTACAGCCTGACGGGGAGGGGCAAGGAAACGCCTTGGCCGTGCGCATGACCTGCGCCCAGTCATCGATCTGCGAGCCGTCGGTGATGAGCTCGACGGGCCTGTGTGGCCCGAACTCCCAGTCCGATAGCACCTCGGCGCGGGCTTCGCGAAACTGCTTCGAGACGTCGAAGTAGTCAATGACATGCTCGGACGGCCTGCACGTTCCTGAGGTGGGCGCGACCGCGCGGCCCCCGCAACGTTCCAGGAACGACGGCTGCTCGAGCATCTCAGGCTCCATGTTGAAGTCCCCTGCGATGATAAACGGCCTGCCGAGCACCTGGAGGAGCTTGTCCACCCTGTGCAGGATGGACTCGTTGGCCCCTGACAGGCCCTCTCCAGTGTGAAGGTATATGTTGGCCAATGGCACTCCACCTGGACAAAAGCCCGAGTGGTGCACGGACGTCGCACGTCCGACATCCACCACATCGCTGCCGACACCCTCGAAGAGCCCCATGTCGTGGACCCGAGGCGCTAGCAGCAGCAGCCCTCCGTGTCCAGCGAGACCTGGCCCCGCTCCTGCAGCGGGGGTCGCATGGGCGTGCCAGCCAAACTTGGATAGTGTCGCTGCCACCTCACAGCTGCGCTCGACCGTGAGATGCGTCTCTGGGACTGCGACAGAATCAGACCGTCTAAGGACGTCGCGATCAAGGAATGTCTCGAACGTGGAATAGGCATTGGTGTCCATGGTGAGACCTCGCCATGGGCGCTACTGTCTGGCGGAGCTAGGAACTGGTCTTCCTCCGCTTGGACTCCGCACGCAGTAGCTCCAGGGCGTCCACCAATCGTTTGCGCTCGTCCGCGGACGCAGCGCCTGCCAGCAGGCCGCCTGGGTCCTCTCCAGCAAGATGAGCATCGAAATCGCTCCCGTCCATGGGCGCGTCCTTGTCCGCGTCGCCCGTCTCGGGGCCACCGCCGTCGCTGCCTCCCGCGCCAGAGTCTGCAGGGGCTGCGGCTGGGGGCGGTGCACTCTGAGCCTGCTTGGCAACGAAGTCCGTGAGTTCTTTCGTGACCAGCGTGAACACTGACTCCACCGACGTGCACTGGCTTGCACCTGCTTGAATTTCTTTGAGCTGCTCAAGCAGGGGCCCCAGGTCAACCTTGGGCGGGGCCGTGGACGCGCAAGAGCCTTGGCAGCTTCTTCCTTCGCCATGGCCAGCTCGCGCTCCAGGTTGTCAACAACCATCTGCTGCTCCTGTAGCGCGACCATCGCCTTCGCAGCTGCGTCCTTGGCCTTTTGCAATCGCTGCTGCCCCGACAACAGCGCCTTGGCAGCCTTCTCCACGTTGTTGGATCTGGTGGTACCAGGGGACCAGCCTGCCGCCGCTGCCGTTCTCGCAAACTGAACACGCACGGCTAGACTGAGACAGATTAGACTTGACTAGATCCCAAACATCTTGCTTGAGCTCCACATGCGACTTGATGCTGGCATCGTCCAAGGAAGCGCCGATAGCACCACGCCGACGAGGAGCCTTGGGCCGAAGCTGCGGAGCACCCTGAGCCCATTTTCCTCCTGCCTGGTGCCACGGGCGGGGTGCAGGCCCAGGACCTGGCCGAACCCCACTGCACCCTGCCTGGGAGCACTTGGACTTGCCGGTCGGATTGAAATGCGGACAGCACGGGCATTTCCAATGCGTACCCACATTCGCCATCACTGAGCCCTCTCGGGCACGAGAGACATTGCAGTACGAGCCACCTTGACTCGGCACAGCAATAAGCCGCTCTGAATGCTTGCTTGAGCCAAAATGACTTGAGCCAAAATGGCTACGGAGGTGTGCGTGCGTGCGTGCGTGCGTGTGTGCGTGTGTGCGTGTGTGCGTGTGTGCGAGGTGTGCGAGGTGTGCCTGTGGTGTGCCTGTGTGCGTGTGTGCGCGTGTGCGTGTGTGCGTGTGTGCGTGTGTGCGAATGTGGGTGCGTGCGTGCGTGCGTGGGTGCGTGCGTGCGTGTGTGCGTGTGTGGGTGCGTGGGTGCGTGGGTGCGTGGGTGCGTGGGTGCGTGGGTGCGTGGGCGCGTGGGCGCGTGGGCGTCTGGGTGCGTGGGCGCGTGTGCGTGTGCGTGTGCGCGTGCGCGTGCGCGTGCGTGTGCGTGTGCGTGCGTGTGCGTGTGCGCGTGCGCGTGCGCGTGCGTGTGCGTGCGTGCGTGCGTGCGTGCGTGCGTGTGTGTGTGTGTGTGTGTGTGTGCGTGTGCGTGTGCGTGTGCGCGTGTGCGCGTGTGCGCGTGTGCGCGTGTGCGCGTGTGCGCGTGTGCGCGTGTGCGCGTGTGCGCGTGTGCGCGTGTGCGCGTTGGGGCGTGTGCGCGTGTGCGCGTGTGCGCGTGTGCGCGCTTGCGTGCTTGTGCGCTTGTGCGCTTGTGCGCTTGTGCGCTTGTGCGCTTGTGCGCTTGTGCGCTTGTGCGCTTGTGCGTTTGTGCGTTTGTGCGTTTGTGCGTTTGTGCGTTTGTGCGTTTGTGCGTTTGTGCGTTTGTGCGTTTGTGCGTTTGTGCGTTTGTGCGTTTGCGCGTTTCTGTGTGTGTGTGTGCGTGTCGGGCCCTGTCGCTCCTTGCGAAGCAATAATTAATTAAGCCCTCCGGCGCATCGCCCAAGATGTGCTTATTTGTCTTACCAAATCCATACGTTTTTGGACTTCCAGGCAAAAGATGCGCCGAAATACACCATTCGCGGTACCCGTACCCGGTGCCCACTACACAATTACTCAATATGAATGTACTCTCCCTCTTCCCCTGATGGCGTCTGGGTGATGGCCGCGCACCCTCCGCGTACTGTTTTTGTTCACAGGATGCCCGGAAAATCCCGGGAAACGACTCTCGCTGAGGCGCTGGCGTCATTTTTTCCCAAAATGCTGCTCTCGCGCCGGCGTCATTTTTTCCCAAAATGCTGCTCTCGTTGAGGCGCCGGCCTCATTTCTACTCCCGAATCCTTCCCCTGATGGCGTCCGGGTGATAGCCGCGCACCCTCCGCGTACTGTTTCTTTAGACACAGGATGCCCGGAAAATCCCGGGAAACGACTCTCGCTGAGGCGCCGGCGTCATTTTTTCCCAAAATGCTGCTCTCGTTGAGGCGCCGGCCTCATTTCTGCTCCCGAATCGTTCCGAATCGTGCTCCCGCTGCAGCGTGGGCCTCATTTTCGGATCGGTGTTTGGCCTCCGTCGTTCAGGATGGCGTTCTCGCCCCAGCGCGGGCCTCTTTCTCGCGCGCCCATCCGCCCGCCACCACCGCGCCGCACCGCCACCACCACCACCACCACCACCACCACCACCACCACCACCACCACCACCACCACCACCACCACCAGCACCAGCACCAGTACCAACACCACCACCACCAGCACCACCACCACCACCAGCACCACCACCACCACCACCACCCACCACCACCACCAGCACCAGCACCAGCACCAGTACCACCACCACCCACACCACCACCACCACCACACCACCACCACCACCACCACCACCCACCACCACCACCACCACCACCACGACAACCACGCACACACGCACGCACGCACGCACGTGCACCACCACCCACTACGCACGCGCGCGCGGAGCCACAGGTCCGCTACGACACGCGTCCGCGGATAGAGAAAATCAGCGCCATGGTAAGGGATGGGAGGGAGGGGTAGGACGTCAGATATGACGCGAGCGCACCTAGCTTGACCTACCCCCTCCCCCCCCCCCCCCCCCCCCTCCTCCCCCCTCCCTCGGCTCCCCCCCACGCCCCCCCCCCCCGCCCGAGCGCGGAGGCGGAATCGCGCGGCAGCGCAAGTGGACAACCTATCTGGCGATCGCTTCTGGATGGGCTGGTGGGGGTGCGCATAGCGCCAAGAACTCGAAAAGGGAACAGAAAAGAAGGGAGTACCCCTGCACGCCGAAAAGGGTCCATCACCCCTCCTCACTCCCTCGTCCCCCCTGCTTGAACCCAGCCCCTCTCTCCCAATAAACCCCTACCGTTCCCCCCCCTTTTTCACTCCCCCCCCATGCCCCTCCTCTCGCCCCCCTCTCCCCTCCCCTGCGTCTGGCTCCAGACAGGGGTGGTGAACGACGCGTTGGGACCGAACGCCTGCTCCTTGCCAGTCTGGCAGGCGACGTTCCAGTAACTCATGATCTCGGCAGGTGTGTACCTGAGGGCAGGGGAGGAGGGAGGAGGGAGGAGGGAGGAGGAGGCAGGCGGGAGGAAGTGGGAGGAAGGAGGGAGGGAGGAGGGAGTAAGGGGGAGCCAGGGTCCTAGCATCGGAGCTAGGCTTGCCCTCGTAAGGTCCTGCCAGGAAAGAGGAGTTCGAGGAGCAGGAGCAGGAGGACGAGGACGAGGAGGAAAGCAGAAAGGAGAGGGAGGAGCACACGGGAGAAGGAAGGATGGACGAAAGGGAGGAGGAGGAGCACTCTAGACTGCGCTTGAACCGATGCCTCTCCACATGCTCGTCCGCTGCGCGACCCCACTGCAGTGTGCGGGGGTGCCCTTGAGCGCCGGCCTAAAGCCGCGCAGAAAGATGCAACTGCTATGAGTCCAAATGTGGTATAACGCACTGTTGCTACTCCCCTCGTGGCCCCTCCCCTCACTTGCTCTCCCTGGCTCCTAACACTCGCGGCAACTTCAAAAAGAAACAAGCCAGATGAGGGATACGTCGGAGACAACACTCGAGGACCTGCCCATTTCCCCGAATCTCTCCGAGCCACGGTTGCGAGGTGGTCCGCAATTTAGCTCAACCTTCCCAGGCCCTTGGCCGAGCTGACTGATGGACGAAAGCTTCAAAAGGGCGCCCGAGGCTAGAAGGAGGAGGAGGAGGGAGGTGAAGCTGAAGCTGCCTAGATGTGGCCAGGAGGGTCCCCTCGCCAAAACGGGCGCTAACGGATCTTAGCCCTACCCCAGAGGAAGGTCAAAAGGCGGGGGCCCCTACCTTCCCTGACACGCGCATGCGCAGGAAGCGAATCCCGAAACTTGGGAACCTGGCCGCGCAACTCGGGGTCATCAGACCGTGAAGGGACCCCGCCTCTGCATCAAGGAGCTACAGAATACGCCATGATTTGTCTCTCTCTCTCTCTCTCTCGCTCCCTCTCTCTCTATATATATAAATGTATACAGGCATACTAGATACACGCGCGCGCTTCGCGTGCTCAGGTTCTAGCGCCATACAGATCAACTTACCAGACTGGATGTCGAGGGACATCGTCCCGCAAGAATCACCATCTGGGAGCGTACTCCCGAGATCCTGCTGCTCTAAACAGGTACACCTAGCAACTGCCCGAAGGTAACTTTTGGGTGGCTTCGGGAAGCTCGTGGCCTGTGGACCGTTTTTCGCGGTCTTGAACTTCTTCTGGGCGTCTGGAGGGCCCCTCGAACTATCTCGGAGGTGCTTGAGAGGTCCCTTGGAAACCCTGGGGGCCAATTCCACGGGGCAGCTCAAACCATCCAAGGGCTGCCAAGTTTAGTCGAAGCCGTATCGGGCGGCCTTGGGGAACCTGTAGGTCGTACTGTGCCTTGAAGGAAAAAGAAGCATTAGGATGTTGCACGGCATACCGCACCAAGCAGATGACACGGCTCATTCTTCTCATGGAGGCGACGTCCAGCACGACTTCGCGCCATAGGTATGCGTGCAGGGCGATTCCCCCCTGCTGTCTTTGGAAAGCGCAGGCTCCAGGAAAGCCCGCAAGGCAGCCACGTGGAGGACCCAGGGCAGCCTATTCTATGGGGGGACGCCCGAGAACTCCCAACAACCTGGGAAAACCATGCTGGGAGTCTACTTGGATGCCTTTGGGGAACGTTCTTGCAGGGCTCTTAGGGGGTTTCTGGGGGTGAGGTCCCTTCGGTGTTTGGCGGGGGTCTCCTGGCGGTCTCGTTGGACTTCTTTTGCGCGCCTCGGGGGCCTCCCTGAGGCTCTGGGCGTCTGGGCTCGAAATGTCGAATGGGGTCGGCCTGAAAACATGGAATTGAGGGATGCCCTTTTTTCCCAACCCTCGTGCGGTTGAGACACTCGATTTGAATAGTGCAGTGTGGTCGCGTCCTTCCTCCTTCGTTCATGCCCCCATCCTCCTCCTCCTCCTCTTCCTCCTCCTGCGTCTCCTGTCTGCGGGGACTCATCATCATCATCATCACCATCATCATCATCATCATCATCATCATCATCATCATCAGCATCATCATCATCATCATCATCATCATCATCATCAGCATCATCATTATCATCATCATCATCATCATCATCGTCATCAGCAGCAGCATCATCAGCATCATCATAATCCTCACCCTCATCCTCATCATCATCGTCATCATCATCATCATCACAATCATCACCACCACCATCAGCATCATCAGCATCATCAGCATCAGCATCAGCATCATCAGCATCATCATCGTCACCATCATAATGACCATTATCGTCCTCATCCTCATCCTCGTCCTCATCCTCATCCTCATCCTCATCCTTATCCTTATCCTCATCCTCATCCTCATCCTCATCCTCATCCTCATCCTCATCCTCATCAGCATCAGCATCAGCATCAGCATCAGCATCAGCATCAGCATCAGCATCAGCATCATCATCAGCATCAGCATCAGCATCAGCATCAGCATCAGCATCAGCATCAGCATCAGCATCATCATCATCATCATCATCATCATCATCATCATCATCATCATCATCATCATCATCATCATCATCATCATCATCGTCTGATGCCTGGAGGGCTGCGATCTGCGCAACTGTCGCCACTTTCGTGGGTTCCTGGGAGGCCCGGCGGAGTGACGTTCTACGAGGACCAGAAAGAGGCCCCGCCGTCCTTTGGGAGTTGCGAACTGCGCAAGTGTCGCCACTTTTGTGGGCTCCTGGGAGGGCCAGCGGAGTGGTGTCCCACGCGCACCCAGACGAGACCTCGAGGCTCCCTGGGGGGCTGCGATCTGCGCAACTGTCGCCACGTTCGTGGGTTCCTGGGAGGCCCGGCGGAGTGACGTTCTACGAGGACCAGAGGCCTCGTCGGCCCTTGGGAGCTGCGAACTGCGCAACTGTCGCCACATTCGTGGGCTCCTGGGAGGGCCAGCGGAGCGGTGTCCCACGCACACCCAAACGAGACCTCGCGGCTCCCTGGGGGGCTGTGATCTGCGCAACTGTCGCCACTTTTGTGGGCTCCTGCGAGGGCCAGCGGAATGGCGTCCCACGCACACCCGGACGAGACCTCAGGCTCCCTAGGGGGCTGCGATCTGTGCAATTGTCGCCACTTTCGTGGGTTCTTGTGAGGCCCGGCGGAGTGACGTTCTACGAGGACCAGATAGAGGTCTCGCCGTCCCTTGGGAGCTGCAGATCACCACGAGACCTCGCCGTCCCCTGGGGGGCTGCGATCTGCAAAGCTGTCACCACTTTTGCGGGCTTCTGGGAGGCTCAGCGGAGGTGCGTGTTACGCACATCACCATGAGACTTCGCCGTCCCCTGGGGGCTGCGATCTTCGAAATTGTCGCCATTTTCGGGGGGGCCCTGGGAGCCCCAGCGGATGTGCGTCTTACGCAGATCACCACGAGACCTCGCCGTCCCCTGGGGGCTGCGATCTGCGAAGCTGTCGCCCCTTTCGCGGGCTCCTGGAAGGCCCAGCGGAAGTGCGTCTTACGCAGATCGCCATGAGACCTCGCCGTCCCCTGGGGGGCTGCGATCTGAGAAACTGTCGCCACTTTCGCGGGCTTCTGGAAGGCCCAGCGGAAGTGCGTCTTAAGCAGATCACCATGAGACCTCGCCGTTCCCTGGGACGCTGCGATCTGCGAAACTGTCGCCACTTTCGCGGTTTCCTGGGAGGCCCAGCGGAGGTGCGTCTTATGCAGATCACTATGAGACTTCGCCGTCCCCTGGGGGGCTGGGTGGCGACGTTGGGGAATCCAGCGGCGCTGCTCCCGCGAATTATGTCTCCAATCGTCTCTCCTTATTGTGTTTCCGCACTCCCTCGTGGCCGCCTTCCTGCCAACGGTCTGACTCTCTAGAGCGACGCCGCATATGTGAACATGTGACTCTTTCCTAGCGTTTTTGGGCGAATCGTTCAAGGGCACGGCGAATCGTTCAGGGCTCGCTTTTTGTATCGAGCGGTCCGATGTAGAATCACCTCATGTGTACAAACGGTTGGGTACGTCCCTGGGTGATTTCAAATTGGGCCTCCTACCGCTCAGTGGGGAAGGATGCTGGGTGAAGGCGGCGGAAGGAAGGAATAAAGGAGAGATGGGATGAGCGAGGGGGGATGCGGAAACGCATGAGGGAGGTGGAGAGAGGAAGGCGTGAAGAAGAGACGAAGAAGAGGGAGGAGGGAAAATTACACAGCGGGGGAGAGAAAGAAAGAGATGAATGAGAAGGATGTGGAACGGGATACGGAAGAAACCCAACAGCTGGAGAGAGAGAGAGAGGGAGAAAGAGAGAGAGAGAGGTAGAGTAAGCAGGGCGAACGGACAGCGACGGATAGGGGAAATGAAAGCACACTCTGGGGCACGCCAAAGCCTGGGACAAGAGGGAACGGAGAGGGATAGGCGATCTTGAAAAATTAGCCTGGCGACGAACCCGACCATATGCAGTTGCGTGCACAGTCGTTGTATGCACCGCATTCGGTGGGGCTCCCTTACAAGGCCGCGAAGCGCGTGAGGGGTGTGCCAAAATTGATGTGGTGGGCGCATGCGAACGCTGACACTTGGGCCTTCGGTAGAGCTTTCTCTGGGGCCACGCAACGTGTGAGGGGCGTGCCAACATGTGTGCGGTGGCCGCATGCGAACGCTGGCATTAAGGCCTTCGGTGGGGCTCACTGGGGCCACAAAGCGTGCGAAGGGTGTGCCAAAATGTGCGCGGTGGCAGCATACCAACGCTGGCATTTGGGCAGCCGGTGGGCTCCCTGTGAGGCCACGAAACGCGCGAAGTGTGTGCCAACATGTGCGCGGTGGCCGCATGCGAACGCTGGCATTTGGGCCTTCGGTGGGGCTCCCTATGGGCCACGAAACGTGTGAGGGTTGTTCCAAAATGGGTGCGGTGGGCACATGCGAACGCTTGCATGTGGGCCTTCGGTGGGGCTCCGTGTGGGGCCACGAAACGTGTGAGGGGTGCGCCAAAATGGGTGCGGTGGGCGCATGCGAACGCTGGCGTGTGGGCCTTCGGTAGGGCTCCCTGTGGGGCCACGGAACGTGTGAGGGGTGTGCCAAAATGGGTGCGGTGGCCACATGCGAACGCTGACATTTGAGCCTTCGGTGGGGCTCCCTGTGGGGCCACGAAACGTGTGAGGGGTGTGCCAAAGTGGGCGCGGTGGCCGCATGCGAGCGCTGGCATTTGGGTCTTGGGTGGGGCTCCCTGTGGGCCCACGAAACGTGTGACGGGTTGTTCCAAAATGGGTGCGGCGGGCGCATGCGAACGCCGGCATGCGGGCCTTCGGTGGGGCCCACAATGGGGCCACGAAGCGTGTGAGGGGTGTGCCAACATGGGCGCGGTGACCGCATGCGAACGCTGGCGTTTGAGCCTTCGGTGGGGCCCCCTGTGGGGCCACGAAACGCGTGAGTGGTGATCCAGCATGAATGCGGTGACCGTATGCGAGCGCTGGCATTTGAGCCTTCGGTGGGGCCCACTATGAGGCCAAGAAACGTGTGCAGGGTGTTCCAACATGTGCGCGTTGACCGTATGCGGGCGCTGACATTTGGGCCTTCGGTGGGGCTCACTATGAGGCCGCGCAAAATGGGCGCGGTGGCCGCATGCGAACGCTGGCGTTTGAGAATTCGGTGGGGCACCCTGTGGGGCCACAAACGCGTGAGGGGCGTACCAACATGTGTGCGGTGACCGCATGCGAACGCTGGCATTTGGGCCTTCGGTGGGGCTCCCTATGTGACATGCGAACGCTGGCAGTTGGGTCTCGGTGGGGCTCCCTGTGAGGCCACGGCACGTGTGATGGGTGTGCCTAAATGGGTGCGGTGGCCTCGTGCGAACGCTGGCATTTGAGCCGTTGGTGGGGCTCACTGTGGGGCCACGAAACGTGTGAGGGTTGTTCCAAAATGAGTGCGGTGGGCACATGCGGGCGCTGGCATGTGGGCCTTCGGTGGGGCTCCCTGTGAGGCCACGAAACGTGTGAGCGGTGTGCCAAAATGGGTGCGGTGGCCGCGTGCGAACGCTGGCATTTGAGCCTTCGGTGGGGCTCCCTGTGGGGCCACGAAACGTGTGAGGGGTGTGCCAAAATGGGTGCGGTGGCCGCATGCGAACGCTGGCGCTTGAGCCTTCGGTGGGGCTCCCTGTGGGGCAACGAGGCGTGCGAGGGGTGTGCCAAAGTGGGCGCGGTGGCCGTATGCGAGCGCTGGCATTTGGGTCTTCGGTGGGGGCTCCCTGTGATGCCACGAAACGTGTGAGGGATGTGCCAAAATGTGTGCGGCGGCCGCATACGAACATAGCATTTTGGGCCTTTGGGGGGGCTCCCTATGTGACATGCGGGCGCTGGCATTTGGGTCTCGGTGGGGCTCTCTGTGAGGCCACGGCACGTGTGAGGGGTGTGCCTAAATGGGTGCGGTGGCCGCGTGCGAACGCTGGCATTTGAGCCTTCGGTGGGGCCCCCTGTGGGGCCACGAAACGTGTGAAGGGTGTTCCAAAATGGGTGCGGTGGGCGCATGCGAACGCTGGCATGTGGGCCTTCGGTGGGGCTCCCTATGGGGCCACGAAACGTGTGAGGGGTGTGCCAACATGGGCGCGGTGACCGCATGCGAACGCTGGCATTTGGGCCATCGGTGGGGTTCCTTGTGGGCCACGAAACGTGTGAGGGGCGTGCCCAAATTGGTGCTGATGATGGTGACGATAACGGCGATGATGATTGCGATACTGCTGCTGATGATGATGATGCTGATGATGATGATGATGATGGTGGTGATGATGATGATGATGATGATGATGATGATGGTGATGATGATGGTGATGATGATGATGATAATGATAATGATAATGATGATGAGGAGGATGATAATGATGGTGATGCTCATGATGTCGATGCTGACGATGCTGATGATGCTGATGATGATGATGATGATGACGATGCGAGGAGGGGAGAGGGGGCAGCGGGAGGAGTGAACGCGGGGAAGCTCTTGAAAGGCCCACACCACTGCGAAAACTAAGGAAACATACGACTGCTGTGTTCTCGCATTTCCCCTTCGACACGCCTCCGAGGCTTGCGCATGCAACCCAAGAAAGCTCCCAAATGCCCCCAGGATGCGTTCCGAGCGGCTCTTGGGGGCATCTTGAAGCTCTCCTGGGGGCCTCTTGGGAGATCTTAAGGGCCTCTCGGAGGAGGTCGTGCCTGAAGGATGTCCACCTGCGGCCTCAGTGGGCGTGCTCAAACGGCGGCATCCGAAATATTCGGCAAACCCTTCACGAGGATCGTGGCCCACGAGAAATTCAGCGCACCCGTGCACGCGTGCTCCGCAGCAGCCACCTTTCCGCAATGCCCCGCGGCGCGCAGTGTATGAGAGACCCGCGCTCTGCGCTACACATGACTGCACAAGGATGGGTCCGTCGCCAAGAGCACATGGCTTGATTATGGGACGAAGCAATTTCGGCCTCCTGTGGCCCTCGGGACGCATCTAGGAGCCTTTTTAAGACGCCTTCGGGGCCTCTTGAACTGTCTGATTCGGGCGTCTTCGGCCCTATCAAGCCACCCTTTGGCAGCCTCCGGAACTGCTTCGGTGGCGGGGGGGAGCCCAGGAAACTCCAGAAGGGGTCAAACATGCCGTGGGCCAGAAGGGGGGGACATCTGGGAAGGTGTCTGTGTTCAGTTTTGGTCCTCCTCCGCCTCCTCCACCTCCTCCTCGTCCTCGTCCTCGTTTTCGTCCCTCCTCCTCCTCCTCCTCCACCTCCAGTTCCTCCTCCTTCTCGTCCTTTCTTTCTTTCTTCCTTCCCTCTTTCCACATATGACATGCGGGGACTTCAGGGGGCCTTTGGGGGGCCTCGCAGAGGAGAACGGCAGTTGCACGCAATACCCTCGACAACGTACCCACTCGGAGCGGGTCCCTGGTCTCGGTGTGAACGGGTCCCCAGGTAACAAAACAACCCTCCTCATCCTCCTCCTCTTCGGTCTCCTCGTCGGATTGGCGGCGACAATCACGTTCCCGGAAGGCTCTCTGGGAACATGGTGTGGGCTGTGTTGGAGTCCTCGTGGAAATTCCCAGGGTACCCCGCATGAGGCTGCAGAGCCCGAAGGACAGCCAGATGGAACCATTCGAACATTTTGAGAGGTGAAGCTTGGAAGTGAGATGGGGGAGGTGTAAGGCAACAAAACAAAACCACACATTGCACGAACTGGAAAGGCCACGGGAAAGGCCACGGCAACGAATGTGAGATGAGCGTAAGGGGTGTGCGACACAGGTTGGAAGGGCCTTCGACCAATGTCGCCTCCTTGCCTGGTGGTGGGTCAAAAGCCATGAGAGTGCCACGATGGATGTCTAAAGAGGCCTCGCAAGGGGGCCTTTTGGGGGACGTTGTTTGGCCTCTTGGGCGCCGTTTTGGAGCATTCTGGGGCGTCGTGGGGGCCTGTTGGGGTCCTCTTGGAGCCTCGTGGCACCTCTTGAGCCCATCTTGAAGCCGTTTGCAGGACCTCTGAGGCCGTCTTGGGCGCCACTGGGGCCGTCATGGAGCCCCGTTGGGCCGACCCGAGGCCCTCCTGGGGGCCTCTGGGCCCGTCCTGAGGCGGTGTTGGAAGCCTTGGGCCGTCGTGGATTGTTGGGAACTCGAGAAATGGAGGACCCCCAAAATGCAACAACCACAAGGAAATCAAAGAGTTTGGCCTCTCGAGGCACTCGTCTAGGGCCTTGGGCGTCCACTGAAGCCTGTGCATGGCCGTCCTGGCGCCTTCTTGGGGCCTGCTGGGAGCCTCTTGGGGCGAAGAACTCGAAATTTCGGTTCATGCTCCCCCCCTTAAGCCCATCATGGGGCAGTCTTTAAGCCTTCTTGAGCGTCCCTGGGGCCGTCATGGAGCCCTGTTGGGCCGTCCCCGGATCCTCCTGGGGGCCTCGTGGCCCGTCCTGAGGCGGTGTTGTGGGCCGCCGTCTTGGATAATCGGAAACGGGCATGGAAGGTGGGGAGAGCGCGGGCACACGTTCTGGTAGAATGTGCTCAATTCCTCCAGCGTGTACGACCAGCCGTCCTGGCAGGGCGGCGGCCGCCCGCCGTGAGGCGGCGCTGGCGCAGCCGCTGGCAGCGCCTCTCTCCTGTCCCCCCCTCGATCTCCTCCAGCCTCTCCCCTCCTCCTTATCATCCATGCCTTCACCTCCTCATTCTCCCTTCCGCTTCTCCCCTTCCGATTGATCCTCACTGCACGCTCACACGATTCATGATCAGTACCATCGTCGTCACCGTCCCCGGCACCGTCGCCGTCATCATCATCATCATCATCAGCAGCAGCAGCAGCAGCATCATCATCATCAACATCACCATCACCATCGCCATCGCCATCAGCATCAGCATCAGCATCAGCATCAGCATCACCATCATCATCATCATCATCAGCAGCAGCAGCAGCATCATCATCATCAACATCACCATCACCATCGCCATCGCCATCAGCATCAGCATCAGCATCAGCATCAGCATCACCATCATCATCATCATCAGCAACATCATCATTCTCATCATCATCATCCTCACCCTCATCCTCATTATCATCCTCATCCTCGTCGTAATCGTCAGCATCATCATCATCATCATCATCATCATCATCAGCATCAGCATCAGCATCATCATCATCACTGTCACCGTCCGTATCATCACCATCACCATCGCCATCGCCATCACCATCACCATCATCACCACCACCATCATCATCATCATCATCGTCGTCAGCATCACCTTCATCACAGTCATCATCATCATCACCACCATCACCATCACCATCACCGTCAGCATCGTCATTAACATCATCATACTCATAACCACCCCCACCATCATATCCTCATCGTCATCATCACCATCATCACCATTACTGTCATCATCACCATCACCATCACCACCATCACCATCGTCATCATCACCAACACCGCCATCATCACCACCACCATCCCCACCACCATCACCATCGCCATTACCATTACCACTACTATCACCACCACCATATCATCATTTCATTCGGTCGGCCAATCCACACGGATCAGTTCGCTTGCTGCAGCGGCTGCTAGATGCCACATTATACGGGGCGCCTTGACAGGTCCGTAAGAAACCCCACCTCAAGAGCATCGGGCCCTCGCAGAGCCTGAGAGCCAACATGACAGGATCTGAATCAGATACGCACGGTGATGGGGAGAGCTATGGCTCGCGCCACCTCTCTGCAAGCTCCCAACCCCTACTTCAGGAAGATGTGTTCCAGCGTGAACCCTAGATGGTGGGTTCTTGCACTGTCGGCGTTCAACATGTGCGGTGTAATAATTGAACGGTGCAATCTATATGCTGAAACCTCTAGTGCTATAGCAGTAGGTGCGATACATTGGGTGTGTTATAGTTGTGGGCAGTATACTGGACGCATTGTAGTGGTGCAGGAATGGGGTGCGCAATCAATGGGCTGCAAACAACTTAATGAACCTATGCTGTGCAATCTACGTGTTGCATGGTATGAGCTATGTTGCGCAATCTATGTGGCGCAAACACAAGACAACGCATGGGGCGGGCTCTTAGCGTATCGTGGAAGGTCTGAGAGCCGTTTTGACGTGTCTCGGGACTGTGTGGGGGCGTCTTGGAGCCTGTTCAGAAGCCCTCTGGGGGCGTTCTGGAGCTCTCTTGGGGTGTCTCGTGACCCTCGCTGCCCGTCCTGGATGCCTCTTGGCGCTGTCTTCGGCGCCTTCGGGCCGTCGTGGGCCAGCCTTAGGAACCTCTTAGAACGACCTCGGCGCTCGCGTAACCGGCCGTCGTTGGCCAATCTTGGGCTTCTTCTGGCAGCGTCTTGGAAGACTTTTGGGGTCGTCTTAGCTAGTCGTCGGACATCTGGAGGCCATCTCGAGTAGTTTGCTTCTTTCCTCGCAGTATCCTGCGCAGCGCCTCAATAGAAGTGCAGGGGGTTGCGGAACGACCCTAATTCACTTCGGTAGGGCGCGGGAAAAGCAATGATAGCTGGAAAAGCGTCTGGGACAAGACGTGTAGAACAGCGCCACAGTCTAAACCAGGCCGAGACGTCGAAAAGGCGCGGCGACGGCGCAGAATAGACGCGCGGACCTTCAGAAGGGAGCAGGAAGTGCCACTTGCACCATCCGGCCCTCAACGAAAACGCACGCTTCCCCCACGATAGCCCCCCAAGAGACCCACATCCCCCCTCCCCCACGTCCCCCTCGCGGAGAGCTGTGCGCGGGTGTAAGAAGAAGGTCATTCAGAACGCACGTGCGCTCATGGTATATCCTTTCCCACAGCACTGCCGAATATCTCTGTAGGAAGAAAAAAAAGACAAGCTGCTTCCCGACTGTCACCCCTCACATATTCATGCCACCCCGCCTTCGCCAGTGCCTCATTGGAGAAAACAGAGCAGACCGCAAAACGGAATGAAGCCTTTGCCTCAAATATATCGTACGCAGATGGGCTCTTCTCCGGAGCCGGAAGGCACCAGGTGCGCTCTCCTCCAGGCCGACGCGGTCGGTGTCTCGCGCCTGCACAGGATGCCCCGGCCCACGTCGTCCCTTCGGATGGAGGGGCGTTGGCAAACAGTGCGGGACCCCCGTGGCTGCACAGACCCGACAGCTTCCCAGACGGGGCGGGGCTCGGCGCGCCTGCGCGCGGGGCCTCTGCCAGCGGGCCGCCCCCTGCTGGAGCTGGGGCGGGCCTCCCCCGGGCCGCAGGCTCCGGCGCAGCTTCGCAGGAGCACTGGGACTGCCACCTGCGGGCAGAGGCCTGCTGCGAACCGAACGACTTGAAAGAGCACGCATGCGCGATGCCCGCAAAGCGTCTGACTTAGCGCCCACAGGAACATAATACGGTCTCAGCACCCCTTAGCAGATAGAGCAGCAACCGTTGGATCCCTCGGGTACCTCGTCAGCCCAGTCGAAGCGTGAATCGATGGGGCACAAAAGCGCCTGAATAATCCAATCCCCGCGACTGAATGTTTGGTAGCAGCCAGTGCCGAAAACTTCTTTCCTCTCTGAGTGGTAGCCATCCGTCACGTCGACCTGGTCGAAAGCGTGGTCAAATTGATTGAACCAAGAAAGCTCCTGTTGATGGCCGGTGCAGGCAATGATTTGGAAACGCACCTTCTTCTCGGTGGTGGCCCGCTACACAGCCTGTTTCAACCGATCTTGCCGGCGGTTCGGCTCGCTGTCTGTGATAATCACAACGATATATTGCTTTGTTGCAAGAGAGCCTTCCAGCCACACGAAGCACTGTCTCTATCAGCGGGGCGCTGCCCAGGGGCCCCCTCGCAAATGCATCCTGCAGCGACGGGTCGTTCACAGAGGTCGCACTTCTGAAAGTGCCCATGCTGAGGAAATGAACGCTTATCCCGTCCAACTTCGATCAGAACCTGCAAAGTTTCCTTCAACTCCTCCCAGCGCGTCTGGTTTCCACCGCCCTCCTTTGAGGAGCTTGGGAGGCCCATGCTGCTAGAGTCGTCCACGACCGGCATGATGTCGTAGCCTGTAAGGGCAAGAGGACCTCTGCCCCGCAAATGCTCATGCGAAGACGACTCAAGAACACTCTGTCCAGCCTCTTCTGCTTCCGAGCGCCAGCCGTGGCGCCCAGTCGAAGCCGCGGCCCTTGTTCCCCAGAAACAGAAATGGGCCAAGCACCCCGAGGCGAGGAAGAGGGCGCTTGACTTAATCTGTGTTAAAGACTTGAGTTAAAATGGTTATGGAAGGTTATGTTTAGTGGTATTGGCGTTATCTTACGGAGCTCTGTTGATTAATCGTGATACAAGACGACCACCAACAAGGGGAGGCTGGAGTATCCAAGGAACACGCGACGTCCCAATCCACTCCGTACCAGACCGTACCGCAATGCTTCCACTCCTCAAGCTTTGACACGGCCAACGTCACCCTTGCTCCGAGCTTCGCTCGCACGCTGGCGGCCCGCCGTAGCACATCTCACGCTGTCGACGCCGAGAGCGTTCAAGATGGCCCAGGAGGCACCCAACATCGCCGGAGACTGGGCCTTCCAAAACGAGCAGGCCGAGCGCATGGCAGAACGGGGGAGGCTGAAAAGTCATAGAACGAGGGGGGGGAAAATAGAAAATGGACTGGCGCCGCAAGGATTGGGGCAACGCCCTCGGTTTCGGGCGGAGGGATCTGGGGACTTGCTGCTCCCCTCGGGGTCAGACGCGGGCGCCCCCGCCCTGACTCGCCCGAGCAATGCAGTCGGGCGTGGTCGTGCCTGCGCATCCATCAGTCCGCCTCCCACTGACTTCATAAAAGAACGTATTGTTTGTTTTTGAGCGGAGGCTGCCCGCAATGTGATTGTTGCTCGCATACCTCTAGACCAGCGTCCGCCCTGGTCGCACGATTCAGACACCTGGACCACCGCGGAGGTATGTCGAAAGAGATGGTTGCTGGCGAGAGGTGTTGCTGGTGCCCGTCGATGGTGCTGCGGGCAATTGATCGAATAATTCGGTCGTTCAAGTTTCTCTGAAATGTGCCGGCGGCGCCGGCTGCTAGCGGGATGCGTCAACGCTGCCGGTTGCCAGTGAGGTGTGTTGCTGGTGTCGGTTGCCAATGAGATGTGTTAGCGGTGCTGGTCACCAGTGGGCTGTGCCAAAAGCGCGCGTGTGCGGTGATATGTAGCAGAAGCAAGGGCCTCTAGGCAGCACTCGAGCCGCCCCAGAATAGTTTTACGGCGGTGCCGACAGCAACCAAGAGAGCTCCATGAGGTCCATGCGATGGCCACAGACCCCTCTGCGATGGCCACGAGCTCAAAAGATCTCCAAAACGCCTCCGAGAGACAACGCACTAACCACGCACGAAACGTAACATCCGTGCCACGCTGCGGTGGTGCTGGGCAGCTCATGTTCCTGCAGCAGCTCGTGCTTCTACAGCGGCTCATTGATGGTGGCTACTATGCTTTGATCGAGAAAGATCGCGTCCTATATCACCTGGCGGGGGGAAAACTCAATTGACCTCATTTTCCAAAAGGTCTGCGCTAACTCTCATTGGATCGGCGCTGGGTCCCTCTCCCTGGCGCGCGGAGCGCACCAGGGGTGGCTCTGGAGGCGCCGCCAGGGGGTGCCCGGCGATAATCCAAGACACCCGCGCGGACCTCCGAAGGTTCATGTTCCTGCAGCTGCTTCTGCCCTGAGCAGCAGCATGCACGTGCGTGCAGGCATCGCCGCAACGGACAGGCAACGATGCAGCCATGCCATCTGCAACATTCCTGCGCGGCCTCCCCCTGACGCGGATGCGGATCTGAGCGGCGGGGCAGCTGGACACACTGCTTGAAGCGTAGGCGGTCTTCGACACTGTAAAGATATACATATATATATGAAGCGAGAGAGAGAGAGAGAAACAAAACAGGCATCACGAATAACACATATATCTATACATATATATATATACACATCTACATCTGGAGAAAGAGAGAGGGAGAGAGAGAGAGAAAGAGAGCGAGAGAGAGAGCAGCTGTTGACAAAAGCTGCGCTGTCCGATGGGTCAACTCGCTTCTCTGGCATGGCTGCACTAATCCAGGACCAGACGATCTGGAGAAGACCACCAATTGGCAGATTGACCTCTGTACAATGTACAACTGCAACGTGCTCGAGAGACACACGATGTGTCCCGCGGATCAGTCTTCAAGTGAGCCCCAAGATCCTTCGCAGGCATCACCTCTGCCACCGTCTGGAGCCAAATCCAATTGTGGCGACCCTGCCCTCCCCTTGCAATTCCCCCAACCCTGCTCTCCTCCACAAGTACACAATATGAATACTCCTCTCCTCTCTCCCCTGATGACGTCCGGAAGATGTTCGGCCCCGCTCCGCGTACTGCTGTTCACACAGGATTCCCGGGAATTGGTTTTTGTTTGGCTTGTTTTCAAAAGGTTGCTCCCGCTGAGGCGCTGGCCTCATTTCCGCGCTTCCGCTCGTTTCGAATCGTGCTCCCACTGCAACGCTGGCATCATTTCCGCGTTCCGCTCGTTCCGAATCGCGCTCCCGCTGCAGGGTTGGCCTCTTTTCCGCGCTTCCGCTCGCTCCGAATCGTGCTCCCGCTGCAGCGCTGGCGTCATTATTTCCAGCGCCATGCCACGGCGTGCAATGCAATGCTATGTGGTGTTCCGCCGTGCGATGCCATGCCTTCAGATGCAATGCTAGAATATGTAGTGCTTGACTACGCAGTGCCACGCCATGCTTTGCCATGCTACGCTGTGATCTTCAACGCCATGCTTTGCCATGTTCTGTTCTGTGCCGCTGTGCGATGCCATCCTTTGCGTTGCAATGCTTTGTGATACAGTTCTTCACTACGCAACGCCACGCCATGCTATGACATACCACGCTCTGCCGTGCTCTTCTACGCCCTGCTATGCCGTGCTCTACGATGCATCGCGCACCCTCTCGAGATCATTGCCCTGCTCGACATCCGACTGTGCGGATAGAGATGAGATATACGCCATGGTAAGGGATGGGAGGGAGGGGTAAGACGTCAGATATGACGCGAGCGCACCTAGCTTGCCATAGCCCCCTTCCCCCTCGACCCCCTCCCCCCATTCACCCCCCCTCCCCTACCCTGATATCCCCTCCACCCCTGCCCTCCCGTCACCTTCTGTCGCGATTTGCTTCGCCCCCTTGGATGTACAGCCGGTTACAGGGCGACGAAGCCTGCGCAGAGGAAAGAAGCCAAACAGCCAATTGGTGCTTCTCTGCAGCCGACCTCAGGCGAAAAGCGTTGCCGCACCTGCACGGGCAACCTGACCTTGAGCCCGAGGAGCGGAGAGGGGGAGGAGGAGCTCCACCCCGCAGGCGGCGCCAGGAGGGGGGGAAGGGGCAAGAGGCCCTGTTCCCTCGAGGCCCTGGCGATCAGAGAAAATCGGGCGAAGCGGGCCCCCGTCGAGGAAGGCCCCCGGCGAAGGGGCATCTCCGGCGAAGATGTCTGGCGCCAGGAGGGGGCGGAGCGGCAAGGAGTGTCTGGCGGGCGTGGGCAGAGCGCGGAGCCGGCACGGCGGGGTCACCAGAAGAGCCCGGGCCAGGAGAGACGTCCACATCCACGGCTCCTGAAGTTGAGTCGAAGCTCGTATGAGGACAAGCCTGGGTGAGGATAAATCGGGGGGAGGGCGGGGCGAGAGCCGCACCGCCAGGGAGAGACGTCCACATCAACAGCTCCTGGTGTGAGAAGCCAGGCGGACAAACTCAGATGTGGACAGGATTCTCTGAGAGCTGGCGAGTCTGGAGGACGCATCAGGCGCCGCGGCCATTCCAAAGCGTCCCAGAACTCTCCGAGAGGGTTCTGGAACGCTGTGGAGCGATTTACCCTCGTCCTGGGCCTGCCCGACACAGCTTCTGGAGTCCTGCCCTGGATCCCTGGGTATCGGTGGATGTGGATACTCTCCAGACCTTGGTGGGTGGGTGGGTGGGCTGGGGTGGGGGGCAAATGCCCATATCACCGCTCCTCGAGAGGTCCTCGAGATCCTGGGACTCCACTCCGCGGCGGTGGACGTGGATACACTCCAGCGGTGGAGGAATGAAGGGGGAATGAAGAGTGCCTAGAAGAAGGAGGATATCGATGACGACGAAGGGGAGGCGCGATGATCCCGCACCGCAGTTCTGCAGATATGAGCGCGATCACGTAAGCTGGACCGCTTGTCAGGAGCAGCGTGGCGTGATCCTTACGAAGCCGGCGAACAAACATGATGCCGCACAAAAAGCAAGGTTGCTCTCGCCCTTGTTCCCAGGAGGGGGCATCGTCTTGTACGGCGTATGGGCTGGATGGCCGAAGACCATGCCACGGCGACCCCGAGATGGCACCAGACTGGCCGAAGCTGAATTCAAGAGCCGAAGGCGGCTGGCCGACCCCCCAGGACAGCCCCGAGACCCCAAGCAGGCCTGTAACATGCCCCACAGGCGCCCCCGAGAGGCCCCTCGGCGTCTCCCGAGGCCCCCCGAGAGGCCCCCTCAAAGGGCAAGCCCGCTGCAGCAAAATTACCCCAGTGCGACCCTACCTAGAAGTTGGAGCCCCTAGGAAAGCAGCATTAGTTGCTATGCTATGCCATGATGTGCTGCGCTATGCCATGCTATGTTATGCTATGCTATGCTATGCTATGCTGCGCTATGATATGCCATGTTATGCTGTGCTATGTCATGCTGCGCTGTGCTATGCTAAGCTATGCTATGCTAAGCTGCGCTATGCTATGCTATGCTATGATATGCTATGGTATGCTATGATATGCTGCGCTATGCTATGCTATGTTATGCTATGCTTGGCTATGGTATGCTATGCTATGCTATGCTAATGCAGCGCTGCGCTGTGCTAAGCTAAGTTAAGCTCGGCATACGTCGCACATTGCTTTTGATTTGCCTTTCCTTTGCTTTTGTTTCTGCCTTGCTTTGATTTGCGTTGCTTGTGCTTTGCTTTGCTGCTGTGTTATGCTATGCTCTGCTCTGCTATGCTATGCTATGCTGCGCTGTGCTATGCTGTGCTGTCCTGTGCTGCGCTATGCTATGCTATGATATGCTGCGTTATGCTATGCTATGCTGGGCTATGCTATGATATGCTGCGCTGTGCTATGCTATGCTACGCTATGCTATCTTATGCTGTGCTCTGCTATGCTAAAGCTCAGCGAAACTAGGATGAAGGTAAACTAAGCTAAGATAAACCTGAGCTGAGATGAAGCTAAGCTAAACTAAGATGAAATAAGCTAAGATGAGATAAGCAACGCTAAGCTAAGGGGACGTAATTGGGGGAACCGCGGGGCGGATGCCGGGGGAACCGCCCGGGGCGGGGTCCACTGCCCGGCCCCGTTAAGCAAAGAGGGTAAGAACCCTTCTAGGCAGAGCCTAGGTAGGGAACATGCCCCTCTTTAGCACGGCTCAGCTCTAGAACGGAGCATGGACGTCCACGTGCAAAAAATTCGAACCAGTCATTCACAACCAATGCAACCCCACGAGCAAAAAGTCATGCTGCCACAAGAAATCCGCCAACGTGCCGCTGGGCACGGGGCGCCGGGGGCAGGGGCTGGAGCTCGGTCGGGGTAAGGGCCGGGGCCGGACCCAGGGCCCTGGCCAGGGCCAGGGCTGGGGCCGGGGCTCCCAAGCCCAACGACCCACCAACGAGCCAACCCGTCCGGGGGCTAGCCCGCCATGAAGCTCGGCAGACGGGCACGACGCAGACATCACTCCATTCAGCACATACTGCCCAAGGCGACTGCCAACACCCTCCTTCACCTCCTCCTCCTCCTCCTCCTCCTCCTCCTCCTCCTCCTCCCTTTCCCCCTCCTGCTCCTCCCTCCTGCCTCTCGAAATCATACTCTCACGATATTAAAGAGGACGACGAATTCGCACACAGCGTTCCGGAGCTCCCTGGATCGGCGGCACAGGCTGGAGGCCTCTACAATACACACACACACACATCGCCGATTCCCTCGGAGAGGCGGCGCGACGCGTTGGCCGGCCGAGCAGCCGTACCGAGGCGTTCAGTGAACGCCGCGTGGGTGGGGTGGACGCCGAGCGGAAGCTCTGACTGGGGGAACAGAAGGCACCGATACCACAGCTCTAGCCGGGTACGTTCTGACCAGAATTTCGAGGCGAATCCAGCTAGGACAACCATGGCCTCCAAGGAAGCCCAAACATACAGCAACTGGGGAGGGCATCGGTCTCGGCATGCGGGGGGGAATCCGCTGAGGACCGGTCCCTGGTCCTCTGAGAGGGCCAGGGAATCGTCTGCAGGAGAGTCTCCTGTGGCCAATTTTCCGAGCCGCGGCCGGCCGTGGCGACGGAAACACCCAGAGGCGCCCCCAAAAGCCTCCGAAACAATGACGCCGACGGCGTCGCCGTCGCTCTGCGCGCCGCCGACCTCCGGCCCACCCTGGCACTGGCACGGCGGGCTCACGCCGTGACGAACTCTGCGCTGGCTTCCGACACCGCGGGAATCGCTCGACCTCGAACCATCGCAGCTCTCCGATACCGCAGACCGCAGACCGTTCGATGGCAGCGGATGCGGGGCCACGCGCGGCGTTCGACCCTGAACGCCCGCGCCAGGGCCGCAGACGCGTCGACGCGGCGGAAACCCACCAATAGCCGACGCGTCGGCGGGCCGGGGGGCGGGGGGCGGGCAGAAGACTGAGGAGGAGGAGGAGGAGGCGGAGGAGGAGGAGGAGGCGGAGGAGGAGGAGGAGGAGGAGGTACGCTCGAGCTCGAGGTAGAGGATGAGTAGGGCCCGATGAAGACGAGCAGGAAGAAGCAAGGCGAGAGAAAAAGGAGGAGGAGGAGGAGGAGGAGAGGCGTCTTGTCTCAGACATTTGCTCGATGGACGGCTTTCTTTCTGAACTTGACAGTCCGTTTTGTTCCCCACTCAGACGTGCCAGGGTGGTTGCTGCTCGACCCGATTGGATGATGAGGCAGTCAGCTGCAGGGCGAGACATGCACCTGTCCTTGACCCAGGCTCGGGACGCAAGCAAGGCCAAGATCACGATGGTTCTCACCCTGGCAGGCGCATCGACGGCGTGCCCTGTGCAGGCCGCCGCGCTCCGCGCGCTCGTGGAGGCGATCATCGTGAAGCTTCCGACCTTCACTGATGTGGACCGAAGGCATCTCCACAGCGATGGCGCATTCCGTCGTTTAGGTGTGGCTGTCACCACGTCATGGCTGTGCCTCTGGTCTTCCAGCTCGTGCGGGGCTTTCGGGTCATCCACAAAGTCCTGGCGAAGA